CTTGCAAAGAGAAGAACAAGGAAAATAAATTGAAACTATGCTGCCTATAAAATTTCACACACGCTGACTGCTAAACTTTATCAGGCTAAATAAGCACTTATTTTGACTGTTAAGATTTCTCTTAACAATTCTCGTAATATCTTAGAACATCATTATTAATGTGGTTATTAAGAGAAGCATCTCTGAAAACCACTAAAGTAATGCTGCATTGGTAACATACAGCTAGACAGCATGTTGGAGTGTCTCCTTTCCATTCTCATCTCCAATCCACTGGCCTGCTGAATGATCTCAAACTTGCTTTGTACCTTGGTTTCTTCCTCTGTGATGACGTGGCTCACTGGAATGCAGATGTTACCATCAGTTAGACAGCCAGGATAGGAGGAAAAGAGCACATAGAAGAGAGTGGTCCAGGCTAAGATATTTTCCCTTCTTTATCCTCAGGCAGAGGCACCTCTGATTAAGCTGAACATTATGTTAGAGCTTCCAGAAGAAAATAATAGGAATCAAGCCAGGCAAGGGGGCAAGGTTTTGATCAAAGTCTTTGGGCAGGGAGCTCAGCACCACAGACAAACCCCACACAGGGTAAATGAGTTGGAATCAGCACAAGATCACCCATCACCAACAGCTTTGAGAATAGGACCAAGAGTGGCCATAACTCCAAAAATCAAGGTCCAAGAGTCCCACAATACATGAACCACACAGGGGGAGGGCTGAGAGGGTGTCCTTCCATTCCCAGACACTTTGTGCAAAATAGCTGTTTTTGGATCCATAACAATATGTTCACCTTTTTAGTTTCTAGCACATGAATTAATGCAAGACGTGCAGCAAGCTGGGATCTCATTACACCCAGACTGCATTGGCCCTTCTTCATCCACCACTGCATTCCTGCTCCTGTGGTTTCTGATCTTTTCTCACCCCAGTAGCAGAAGTCAGAAACTACCTGCAGATTCCAACACAGCCAAGAGCAAAGAAGGCATTTCCAAAATTTCCAAACTGTGTGTCTGCACCGTGATGGGTGGCATTCCCACCGCAGGTGGGTGAATGACTGGCACTTGGGGTAACTCTCACCTGTCCAGTTCTGTGCCTGAAACAACCAAATCTAGTAATACACTTTCCTGTGACTGCTGTTCCCTGAAATCTGATACGATAGATCAGATTTCATTGTATATCAGGAGTCAAGGAGAGAAAGTGGAGTCAGAAAGCCTTGACAACAGGTTTAGAAAAGGCTGTGTCCAGGACAAAGCAAAAATGTACAACAGGTATTTAAAACAATGTATGTTCATCAGATCTTCCCATCAATTCCAAGGAAACACTCTGCTTTTTGGCACAAAAGATTATGCAGGCATAATATATCCATCAGGAAAAAAAGAGTAACAAAATCTCTAGACACAGAAGGAGCAGGTGGGCAAGAGCAATGTGAGTACTGAGCAAAGCTTTGTATCAGGCTGAAGCAAAGGGGTACCTTTTCCAAAAAGCACTGGACTGAAACAACCAGAACAAAGAATATACTTAGACATTAAGATTTAAAAATGGAGATTGGGAGCATAAGGACTGAACCAGTGGCATAAGGACAATTTATTGACATACATTAGAAGCAGGAAGACTGCACAACAATTGTCTGGCAAGTCTGAAATAGTACTGGGAAACAAAGGGACTGAAGAAAGAGGACGAAAAACACCACAGAAAAAATAATGGCTGATTATGACCTTGAGCTATTTAGTTATGCAAAAGAGGAACCTTGCCTTTTCTCACCCTCTATGACCATACTAACATTTCATGTTAGCTGGGTTCCTAATCTGGGATATTCACTAAAAAATACCCACTATTTCTTCCAGTGGAAATTCCAGGTCTTTTCTTTTTCAGTTCTCTTTCACTTTCACACCAGCCAACAGCATTCTCCCTCCAAGATGGGAAGAAAAACAGCACTCAGGAAAGTGAGGGAATGAGATGTCCTTTCTCTTGAACAGCCCAAGAGAGGAAACATGATTCTGTGACACAAAATTTTTGCATTGTCCATCTTTTGGGGGGATGGAGCAATCTTGACCCTACCTCATATTCTAAGATATGCCTCTCTGTCTCCTGATGCCCAGAAATCCAGACAGACCAAAGGTACCTTTTAGGCTAAAAAGAAGCTTTTAGGCTTAATACAGATGGGAAAATCTATGATATTCAAGTCAAGAAACTGTCCGCTATGGTCCTTTCAAATAGCAAATCCCATTAATTAATTCTTTTGCAAGTAAAGGCTGAAAGAACAGCAGATAGCAAAACAGAAAGTGCTGAAATAGAAGGATAAATTAAAGGCAAGCCGTTCTGAGGACACACACAGCCTTTCAGAACCAGCCCAAGGTTGGAGGCAGGGCTTCCAACAAAAATCTGCACTCTTCTATCAGGAATGAAAGGATAGCAGTCCTCAAAAATAGCCACAAATGATGATCCAGATTACATGCCAATGAATTCTGTGATTTAGTAAACCGTCTGGAAGGCTACTTTAAAAGATTATAACTTTAATGCCTGAGCAGGGATTACATAATGGGGAGAAAAACAACATTGATAACATAACGAAAAATACATCCTTTTTAACTTTGAGTGCATCCACAGAATTCATTATTATTTATTTGGCCTTTCAAAAGGGCTTTGACAATGGGACCCATGAAGACCATAAAGAAAACACAGTAGTCACGACTGGAAGTTGGAACCATGATTAAAAACAAGCTAAAGAGCCAAAAGTAAAATGTACGAATGAAAAGACACTTTGACAAGAGAAATGTTAGGAGTTGAATGCTGGTATCAGTTTTTAACTTTAGTTCATATCTAGAAAGATCAGCTGTAAAATAAAGAGTGGCAAAAATTACAAGCAAGGGAAGAGTACTGGAGTTACTGAAGGCTTTAACCAAGCTGAGTGAATTTGAAACACAATAAATATTTTTATTTTTTTAATAATTGGTAAGGAGATCATATTGCAACATTCTCCAAGGGGAGGACCTGGGTGCCACCATAACAAATCAACAGAAACTTTCAGAGATACTCAATAATGTCAGGTACGTCAAGCAGGAAAACAGAGTCCTGCATTGAAAACATTATCCTTCCAGTATCTGCCTGCCAGGGAAACAGCTTCCTGGGGAATGCCAATGAGCCTTTCCTCATTAAAGCTACAGAAGTAACAGGAGTGCAAGGGCAGGTGTCTACAACAATCTCACTTGTAAGACACTGCCATATATGAAAACACAAAGTGATCAAACTATTTATTTTAGTGAGCACATAAGCAACAGGGAACACATGAGAGATACACAGTCTGAAAGTCAGGATCTGTAGTCCAACTTTCTCACTCATTTCCAATCTTGGAAGGAAAATGATTCAGCTAAATTAAAATTCAAACTATTGTTTGTTAAATTCAAACTATGGGAATATATTATTTTTCAACGTGCAGCCTGAGCATGTGAAAATCAATGCCTTGTTAAGGGACATCAGCAGGAATCAGAAAGAATGATTCTAACCATAGCCCACAGAAATGCAGTGTTAGATGGGATTGTTTGCTGGAAAGACCACATGGACCTTTGTGGAAAGCCAAGGGACTCGCCTGCCCCACTTTCTGACAAAGACAGGGTACTCCAAAAGGATCTGATGCTGGTCACCTTCACTCTCTTACCAATCAACCCTTTGTAAAAAATGCCAGGGTAGATTGGCATTAATTACACTGTGGGCCTGTTCCAGTGCAGTAATTTCTACTTTTGTTTTCTGTGGCCAAAAGAAATGGCAAAAAAAAATAGACAAGTTCTCTTTATCTAATGCAAAATGCCTCATCCTCTAAGCAAGCTATGATGCCTGACACAACGCTGTCAATGCATCATTCAAACATCACAAAAACACGTAAAAACATGCATGTTTACTTTGCCACCTGCTCTCTCCTCTGCACCACGAGTAATTAGCAAGAACATAAATTGTAAGACTTGGTTTTACTATATAAATGTTGCATATAGCACTCTTCTCTGTAACATATAAATTCATTTCCTTTCTTTCATCTTACTATCTTTTTTCCCATCCATATATCATTATTTGCAAAACCCATTTAATAATTATAAGAGAGTCCAAGTCGTATGTCAGATCTTGGGTTATTGCCACTCACACGGTGGTTTGCTACACTCAGCCTTTGGTCTTGTGGCTAAAATTCACCCAAGCTGTGAGAATACCTCACCACAACCCACACACTGCTGCTCTTCAAAGGAAGACAAGGATACGTAATTAAGAGATTATGAGCTCAAATATAAGACATGAGATGTGGGAGCAGATTCTGTAACCACACCGGTGAGTGGTTTTACTACTGAAGTTTCATCAGCTCTCTCTTCACTTATGGTCTCAGTAGAACTCACATGTTTTCAAACTATATTTGCAGCAGCAAAGGGGGGAAAAAAAAAAGAATGCTAAAACTCAACCACGGCATAAACATACTTGTAACATCAACTGGTCAGAACCGAAATTGTAAATCAGCATTATTGAAAAAAAAAAAAAAAAAAGGCAAACCAGCATCCAGTTTTGCTAAAAATACTGCCAAAATTTCATCCCACAAGAATTGTAACCTGAAGATATTCTCAGTCTCATTTCAAGTCTTTATGATGCTGTAATTGCGGCCATAATATAAAGACCTAAAGGCAGAAGTATCTGTGTGTATGTGCCAGCTCAGGGACTAAAGGCACAATGCAGAGTGGAAATGAAAATTCAGATCCACTCCAGCACGTACAGGATAAGTCCCTCACTGGCTATTCAGAATAAACAAAACATCAAACCACTTTTCTTATTACTCTGCTGAGCTGAAAGTAGTTTTGTTGTTGTCACGACTGATTAAGGAAAGAGTTGAAAAGTCTGGAATAGAGCAAGATGTGAATAAAGCTACTAAACTCAAGAGAGGACCACTGACCAGCCTTCAGAAATAGGCAAATAACAGCATTACATGCTCGCTTGTTTCCTGATTAACAATAACAAAAGGAAGAATAATTCAGTTTTACCTGTAAGAAGTCTTCGTTTTGTGCCGATGCAGGACCACAAGCCAGGGACCCTTTGCAGGGCCAGAGCCTCTCAGCAGCAGCCACACCCTCCTCTTCCTCATTTTTTTCCACTGACCATTAAATACTTTCCAAGTCAGGAACTGAAAAAACAACCCAAAACAAACCCCACATTTTTAATGGACATCAGATACCATGTTGCTGATTTAATTAGGCAGATAACAAACAAATAAATAAATTTGCACACATACCCATATTTGTATTTTCTGTTTCATTTCAAACAAATTTGGTAGGCCTGATTTGAATCTCTATTCAAACCACAGGAAAAAAATAATGAAAACGTGTTCTATGCTGACAGCAGAACTAAGCCCTCTAGCTATCTCCTTTTAGAGTTTTATATGACATGTCCACTGGTACTGGAAAAATTCACAGAACAGGGGCTTTTCAGGAATCTTCAGATGAACCTATATATTTTGTAGCAGTAATAGATGCCAGCACAAGACAAAATGAGAGAGACATCCCAGAACTTGTCTCTTCAGGGATTCTATGGATTTGACACTTAGGCAGATCTATGACTTTATATTTAAAAAAAAAAAAAAAAGAAAAAAAGTTACCAAAAAAAAGTAAGACTTTCCTGGCTCCTGTATCATTCAAATTCTCCCAGGTAATAATGATGCTGCAATGCAAGTATCAGACACGTCCTTACTCTTATTAGAGTTCATTCAATTTATTTTATCCATAATTCGGCAGTACACAGAACTATCTGGAAACTGATTGTTGCTATAAACTGTTTTGCATATTGTGTCATCTGCTGGCTTTAATTCATTATTTAAACAACACTGTAATTATACTACATTTAATATTCTATTTAACCAGAAAACAGTCAATACAAATTCAAAGTGAGAAAGCATACTTCCCCCATATCTCAGAAAACCCCTACTTATTTTCAAATAACCAGCTCCAGCATTCAACAACAAAGCAGAAATACAATATTCAGCGTTCAGCAACTTAAACTCAATTTTTTTTGCAAATAACTGCACAAAGATACTTTTGTTTAACTATCATTAGGACTGTGAAATTCATATTAAAATAATCTGCTTGTTAATTTAAATTTAGAACTAAATCTAGAACCTGAATCCACAGATTCATGCTATTATTCTTGCTGAAAGAACAAATTAGTACTAAAATAAGAACAGAGGTTATGTTGAGATGTGTGTTAGGGGATGGCAACATACCTTACAGGTAGTATATTAAATAATGCCAAATCCAAGATGATTTTGTAGGACCAGCATCTTCTACATATTTATTCATGTACAGTTGCACACCCACAGAAAAACACGGCTATAAGCAAGTGATACACTTCACTACTAGTCGAGGTGTATGCAGTTTCATATAGTCCTGCATCCTAACAGGTTCCCAATATACAATTCTGAATTCTCAAAGCCTGCATAATGCTGTATTTGCACATACAGTGAAATATGTGTAATTGATTTGCAGAGTACCTCAATACTGAAGTCTTTCAGACATGATTATTCCCAAAGAAATCTTTGTTCTCTAAACTGCAGAGTATTAGGTAAGACTGCTATTTATACCAGAGTGTTCCACTACACCACTGACTTCTAAATTCAAATACACAATCAGGGAAAATGCTAGCACATTAGTATTTTACTGGCCCACAAATTCCAACCCTCCCAAGCCCTCCCATCTATGTATTCCATATCAGAAAATAACACTTACTCCAGACTGCCTGCATTCCTATTTACGGAGATGCTCTGCAATAAAGGGAGTGAACAGAAATCCAAGGGTTAACAGAAGAAACAAAACAAAACCCTAAACCAAACCAACAAATCCCACCATCAAAATGCCCAGCCATGCTGCAGTTCTTGCAAGAAAAGGAAAGTGTTCAGCAGACAAGTGCCTAACAAAAAGCAAACAGAGAATTTAGTGCCGCTATTGCCTGGATACCAGTTTGGGATTTAGGCAGCCTTGGATTACAAGGACTATTCCCTTGAAAATCCAGCCCACAGTTCCTGCACTGTTTTCTACAAATACCACATCCAAACTGTGACTAAACACCTCATTATGCTTCTCTGGCACTGTCTGAAGCACATATTGTAAGATTTTCTGGGGCACCTAAAAGCAGAGGGAAAAAAGTGGCTGTTTTTTACCAACCAGTAATGAAATGATGAACAAGTTCCCTGCAAAAGCCTGCATGATCAGTAAATCTTCTTTCCCCCTCACCCCTTTTGTCCTGTGTAGGCAACAGGTGAAAAAATACATCCCAAATTTTCAGCTTTACAAATAAGAAAATGTATGCAGACTATGAGACATCTGCACTGTAATATAGCCTTTTAAAATAAATTTAAATTGAATGAAGAGACTTAGCCAGGCCTCTACATTGGTTTCAGAAAGTAAATGCTTTTCTTAATATTTATTTGTGGAGGTTTCATTAAAAAAAAAATACAGTCCTCACAGTTACAAACAATAACTAGTGACTTGAGGTAACAATCTGGTATTGACAGATCTTAAAAGAGAAAATCCAAACTGCATTTTCAAAGGAACTACATGCCTCAAATATTTCACTGCAATCTCTTTTTCCTTTTCTAGGTAATTGATCTTAAATATGTAGATGAATTATGAGTCAATAACCTCCAATTTTCTTAGCTCTTACTCGGGACAAACATTATATTCTGATTAATGAACATCTGAAATATTTAATTTACTGTTCATGGCATTTAAACAGTTAATCTAATTTATGGGAAGTAAGGATTTCATATTAAAGACTCTTTTTACTTTCGCCTTTAAGCTTCACCAATTCAAAAGCCTTTTCCTCTTCCTTTATTTTTTAGGAATAGTGTCCCTTTGTGCACTGGACATACTATGGTAGTTCAGGAGGCCGTGGCAGTTACATGGTTCCTTTGCCAGTCCCCATATTGATCATTAAATAATTTTACTCCCATATATACACACACAGCCGGTAAAGGGATGACTTTGCTGCATTCAGCTACATCTACACTTCCAGAGCGAGTCTCGAAAAAAAAATTTAAAAATCAGTGTTACAGAAATGCTCAGCTCCCATCACTGTACACTTCCCGAGTCTCCGACTGCTCATGCTGCTTGCAAAGCTGTGATGGAGCAGTACACCTGTGTCTCTTCTGGCTAAAAAACCACAATAGGCTAAAAACCTTTCAGTTCTATTAATACCCACTTCTCAGTCCGTAATTAAATAGAATCTTTCTTTAAAGAAAGGATTCCCTAAAATATTTTACATGCTTACGAACAGTTTTCTATTTCTGAAAGCTTTGCAATTTTTTCCCTTTGCAAAAATTCAGCTACGCAGCACCAGCGAAGAGCTCCGGGTACAGCAGATGGTTAAAATTCTGCATCATTTTTAAGAGCCTAAGAGAAAGCACTGCCTTTTTTCGGGGGAGGGCGGGGGTGGAGGAGAGGAGAGAAAAAAAGCTGAGAACAGCAATTTGCAGCCCTTTTTTTTTTTTTTTTTCCTTGACAGCAGCAAGCCCCGCCTCAGTCTGGCCCTTCCTCCCAACCTCTGCTAACCTAAAAACCAGCGCCAGCCTGGCAGCGGGCCAGGGATTCAAAAGTAAACATTATCCTCCTGCCATTTTTCAGTGCTGTTTATCATATCCTGATCTCCTGATT